TGATTTCTCTCCAGAGATGCTGCCAGACCTGCTGAGCTTTTCCAGCATTTTTCTTTTGGTTCCTTGTATAATGAGTGCCTGGTCAAGGTGACCACTAGCAGGTCAGGCCAACATGTGTTTGAGGAGTTGATTCAGCTCCTGCCCCTGTGGCTATATCTGTACCTGGGTAGCTTTAGAGAGAGAGAAGAAGCATGCAGTGTCTGTCAGTGCACCTGAGGATTCCTGCGAGCTGGACACTACAAGAGTTAGAGACACCCTGCACCCCAAGGCCTGAAAATGGAATTTATTTTAAATTTAAGTTTCCTTCTGTTTTGGTCTTTGTCAGATAGGCCCTTTAAAGGGGGCTGTCCATCAGTTGTTTTGTTTAATTAAAAATAAACTGCTGCAGAATCTCAGCAGATCTGTGGACAGAGAAACAGAGTTACTGTTTTGAGCCTGATATGACCTATTTTTGGTCAATTGGTTTATTTGTTTGGTTGATTTTAATCAAATGTGTATTGAAGAGAATCCTGCCGCTCAATGCATTTTTCACTCGGATAGAAACAAAGTACTGCAGATGCTAGAAATCTGAAATGGAAACAGAGAATGCTGGAGAAACTCAGCAGGTTTGGCAGCATCTGTGGGGAGAGAAATAAAGTTTTGAGTCCGGTATGATGATTCTTCTTTGGAACTCTCAGTGCTTTAAAATACCATAAATTTTGCCTTTGTTGGTCAAATTGTACTGCAAGCATTATCTCTGTATAAAATGAAAACATTTTGTCAGCTGGTTGGGAAGTTAATATTTGGAAAATCCAGTGCTGAGGGGACTATTGGAGCTGAAGTCGGCCATTCGGCCCATTGAGCCTGCTGTGTCATTCATTCAGAACATGGCCTGATCTGATAGTCCCCAACTCCACTTTTCTACCTTTTTCCCATGACCCTTGATTCCCTTAGTGAATAAAAATCTGTTAATCTCAGCCTTCAATATACTTAGTAGTGCAGTCCCTGCAGCCCTGTGCAGGAAAGAATTCCACAGATTCAATATCCTGTGAGAGAAGCAATTCCTCCTCATCTCGGTCTTAAATGTGTGAAGTATTTTCCCTGAGATCATGCCCTCTAGTCCTAGACTCTCCCAGAAGGGGAAACAACCTCTCAGGATCTGCCCTGTCAAGTCCCTTAAGAATCTTGTCTGTTTTAGTAAGGTCCCCTTTCACTGGTTAACTGGGATGGCTAATGTGCATTGCAGGGTAATGCCACCTTCACAGGTTTGACTCAGATTTTAGGCGTGGCAGAATTGGGATTGGCACCTTGCCCTGCTACTCAGAGGGCAAGGCAATGGCGAACTGCTATTGATGGGGAAGAAAAACAGACAAGGGTAAAGCTCAAGATGAAGCGTCAACTGACAATGAGCAAAGGGTCTGCGTGGGTTTGCTCTGGTTTCCTCCCACAGTCCGAAGATGTGCAGGCTAGGTGGATTGGCCAGCTAAATTGCCCGTAGTGTTCAGGGATGTGTAGATTAGGTGGGTTATAGGGGGATGGGTCTGGGTGGGATGCTCTGAGGGTCGGTGTGGACTTGTTGGGCCGAAGGGCCTGTTTCCACACTGTAGGGATTCTATGATCTGTGACCTGACTTTGGAAAGACGCATTTGAATGAATGAAGCTAGTGCTGATGGTTGCAAACTCACTCAAAATTCAGAGGCTGATAGTTTCTTTTCTGAGATCACTTCCTACATGCTGTATCACACCAGTGCAATTTACAAATTCATAGTGTTATAATTCCATCTGATATTAATACTGGACAAGGCAGATTCCAGACTGAAACCTGGCTTGATAGCTCATATCTTGTTCAGAACAATGTGGCCTCTTGCTGAAACGTATGCACACTATGTTGACGGTTATGTTTTAACAATAAAACAGAATTGAATTAATCGATTGAAATGAAGAGAAAATGTAATGAAACAAGCTATTACTTATTACACAAATTCAAAGATTTTTCAACCCCCAGCAAAATTATAATCCCACTAATCCCAAAGCACTCCTTTTACAAGTTCCAAAAAGAATTCCTTTGTCCAGTACTCAAAAGTATTCCAAAGATGAGATAACAAGGTGTACAGCTGGATGAACACAGCAGGCCAAGCAGCATCCAGAGGAACAGGAGCTTCTGCCTTCCTGCTCCTCTGATGCTGCTTGGCCTGCTGTGTTGATCCAGCTCTACACCTTGCTGGAGAATCTGAGATAACATCTGCAGTTCCTACTATTCCAAAGATGTGCAGGTTAGGTGGATTGGCCATGCTAAATTGCCTGCAGTGTCAAGGGGTGTGTAAATTAGGTGGATTAGCCATGGGAAATGCAGGGTTACAGGGAAAGGGTAGGGGGATGGGTCTGGGTGGAATGCTTTTCGGAGGGTTGGTGTGGACTTGTTGGGCCGAATAGCCTGTTTCCACGCTGTACGGATTCTATGATTCCGTGATGATATTCCTTTTACAGTACTCACACCCGAGATATTATTTTCCCCAACACCTCGATATTTTAACTGCTAGATTGGAAGCACTTATTGCTTCTCCCTGGAGCTAACGTACAGCTGAGTTTAAATGTACTTGCATTTAAGGGTATTATTCCAACACGTCTGGTTTGGGACTATCACTAACTCTTTACTCAAAGGTAATTTATTTTTACTATATTTTCCTGAGGAGCACAGCTCTGTACAACCATCTCCAACCAAGGATTTCACAGAATTGCTGAACAAAGTAAAACTCAAAAACAGATCTCTCTCTTTGAGCAATGGATGTTTTCCCCAAGTTTAGGTATTTCTAACAGACCTTAAAGACTTTGCAAAATTGTAAAGCATCCTAAGGTAAATAAAAATCCATTAAGGTTACCAAAGTAGCTCTCTTAAACTCTTTTAAAGGAAGTCACAATGGCTACAGAAATATTTACAAGCTAATAATTAACTTCAGATGCACAAAAGCCATACCTAAATTGTATGAAAAAATAACATTTGGGTCTGGGTGGGATGCTGTACAGTGGTCAGTGTGGACTTGATGGGCTGAGTGGCCTGCTTTCACACTGTAGAGATTCCATGATTCTATTTTATGAAGGTTCATACCAGACTCAACATTAACTCTCTTCCTCTCTCCACAAATGCTGCCAGACCTGATGAATTTCACCAGCATTTTCCATCCTGATTTCAGCTGCCCCTAGTAGTTGTTTTTACTTCATTGAAGCAAGTAAAGAATTGCTACTTTGTTTGTACACCTACGTATTGCAAACTGGCTAAAGTCAACAGTGGGATTTCAATATGATTTTGACTAGGTTGAGGCCTATGGTGTACAACCACTGGCAATGATGAGCTTATTAGTAAGTTTGGGTGTGGGCCATTTTATGGCTTGTGGCACAGGCTCCCTGATGAGTCAGGTGCTATGCATGTCTTGTATTTCTGAGCATGCACGTCTATCTATCTGCTCACAAATATGATAACAAGCTGCGGAGCTGGATGAACACAGCAGCCCAGGCAGCATCAGAGGAGCAGGAAACTTGCCCCTTGAGTGGGTGTTAAGTGCCTTTTCTTCTGCCTGACCTGCCTATTAAGTCCCACCCTCCTAAAAATTCTTTGTGATCAGATTCCCAAGGGGCAAAAAATTGTGGCATTGTCCTAACTAATGGGTGTTTGAGGAGTTGAGAAGGAAATAATTGTACAGCAATGGGCATAAAAATTCATAATGACAGCAGTAAAGTACTAATTAATAAAGTGTTGAAAATTTTACAAAGAAGCATCTTACAGGCCTCCAGATAAATTTCATGGAATCTCAGCATCATTGGAAAACAATTTTAGCTGGTTTGGTAGGTGAATCAATTTATAAAAAATAACCCACCTATCTCATCTGTTTAAGGTTTTATTAAATTGACATCTTGCAGCCATGGACTTTTCAAATTCCTGTATTGAATGTGGGTTCATAGAATAGTGTAGGCAGGTTGGCGTTGAATAATAGAATTCCTACAGTATGGAAGTAGGCCATTCTGCCCATCAAGCCCACATGGCCGTTCCAAAGAGGGTCCCACCCAGACCCACTCCCCTACCCTAACTCTGTAACCTTGCATTTCCCGTGGCTACTCCCCCTAGCCTGCACACCCCACGCCAGACACTATGGGACAATTTAGCGTGGCCAATCCACCTAGCCTGCACATCTTTGGACTGTGGGAGGAAACAGGAGCACCCAGAGGAAACCCACGCAAACACAGGGAGAATGTGCATACTCCACACAGACAGTCACCCGAGGGTGGAATCAAACGCGAGTCCCTGGCGCTGTGAGATAGCAGTGCTAACCACTCAATGGGCTGAAGGGTTTCTTCCGTGCTGTATGACACTATAACTCTGGCTTAAGGTGGCAACTTGCTGACTAGCTTATTGTTTGACCATCAGCTTTTATTTAGACGAATATCTGAAATTGAATATGAGCCTGTCTCAGATGTTAAGTTATATCTTAAACTGCTGCTGAACTGCTGTTTCTAACTGACAGTTTAAGTCAGTAAGTTGAAATAACTGTATCTGTTTATTTTCCAGATTACAGTGATGGTTTTGATCTTAACGATGCTCTCAAAGATGATCCCACTAAACCCCCAAGTATGTATTGATGAGGAGTGTGTTTACACAAAGATTCAGTTGTAAATAAGTCATTACTAACACTAATGTTTTTGATTGGCATGATAGTTTGATATATAGTTTTTTAAAAATTCATTCATGGGATGTGGGTGCCTCTGGCTGGGTCCGCATTTATTGCCCTTCCCTTATTTGTCTTGAGCCATTTTAAAGCCAGCCACATCGCTGTGGGCCTGGAGTCACGTGTGGGCCAGACCAGGTAAGAATGGCAGATGTCCCTAGAGGACATTATGAGTATTGACAATAATTAACATGTCATATGGACATTCAGCATGGCAGTTCTGAAGAAGGGTCACTGGACTCAACGTGAACTCTGATTTCTTTCCACAGATGCCGCCAGACCTGCTGAGATTTTACGGCAATTTCTATTTTTTTTTTGTCCCCGGAATATTAGTCTGGGCGCTGGTTACCAGTCTAGTGGCATTACCCACAGCCTCTCCTTAATTACTGTGATCTGTACAGAAAATATAGTTTCCTGGGATGTTGCCTGGTTTGGAGGGTATTAGCTATGAGGAGAGATTGGACAAACTTGGTTTCTTTTCACTTGAATTTCAAAGGATGAGGGGATGACCTGATAGAAGTTTACAAAATTATGAGAGACGTGGATAGAATGGATAGTCAGACTGTGTTGTTTCCCCAGGGTAGAAACGTCAATGGGCGTCATAGGTGTAAGTAAAAGGGGTAAGTTTAAAGGAGATATGAGAGGCAACTTTTTACACAGAGTGGTAAGTGCCTGGAATGTGCTGCCAGAGGAGTTGGTGGAGGCAGAAACAATAGTAACACTTAAGAGGTGTTTTGTCAAATACGGGAATAGTCAAGGAATAAAGGGATATGGACCCTATAGAGGTAGAAGGATTTAGTTTAGAAAGGCACCATGTGTTGGCGCAGTCTTGGTGGGCCGGAGGGCTTGTTCCTATGCTATATCGTTCTTTGTTTTTTGTTCTTCTTCTCCTTTTTAAATTGTTGAGAAGGTGACTTAACTGCTTGGAGGTTTTACTCAGAGCGTGATATGCTTGCTGCTCCTGTTGTTGCCATCTTAATTGAGATTGAGGAGAGAAGTTCTTTGAGGCTAGAACTCACTAATAGATGTTTCAGTCAGGGAAAGTATCCAGGTGAGGAAAAAAAAACAGTAAAATACTCCATACACCTCGATTCCAGAACAATTTAATAACCTCACCATGTCAGACAACATGAAGCAACCAGCTGCCCTGCTGTGATTTATCTGCACTAACCATTTTGTCTGAGAAGATAACCTTGAGTCAAGCTGTACATAAGGAGGTCATTCAGCTCTTTGTGCTTGAGCCAAGTCTTTGAAAGTATTGTCTAATTAGTCCATCTTCTTCCCTGTACGTTTGCAAATATTTTTTCTTTTTGTTGAGTTAGAATTAGCTTTATTGTCACATATGCTCATGCAAGTATAGTGAAGAGTCGCCGCTTACGCTGCCATCTTAGTTACAAAGTTACCTAGGTACAGATTCTTGATTACACATTCCTTAGGGGAAAAAAAAAGACAAAAAGTCTAGCATTACAGAAATTCGTAAGTGCAAATTAATAGTAATAAATTAGAAAAAATAAGAAATAAATTGTTCAGAATAACAGTGCTTCCATGATAACATAAGAAAGAAAGAAAGGTTAATGTCTAAATTTCCTTTGACCTCTCTGCTCATATCATAGAACCATAGAAATATCACGGCACAGAAAGAAGCCATTCAGCCCATTGTCTCTGCTGGCTGAGAAAGTTAAAAACTATTTAAAATCCCACTTTCCAGTACCTGATCTGTAAATGCAGGAAGGATGTTCCAGTTGCCCAGGGAGTTTGGAACCAGTGGATCAAAATCTAAGGATACAGGGATTGAGATGAGGAGAAATTTCTTTAACCAGAGCCCATAAAGCCAAAACATTGAACATTTTCAAGCGGGAGTTAGATATAATTCTTAGGGATAATGGGATCAAAGAATATGGAGAAAAGGATAATGAATGGGATGATCAGCTACAATATTGAATGACACAAGCAGGCTTAAAGGGCTGAATAGCCCATACTTCCTCCTCTTTTCTACATTTCTAAATCCAAGCTCTGCCTGTAAGAGAATTTGCGATTCAGAAGGGAATAGCCTGACCTGAGAAGTGATCCTGCAATAAGCAAGATGTTTAACCAGCGCTACTTAATTCTAGGCACCACATTTCAGAAAGGATGTTCAAGCATAGTGAGGTTACACAGGAGGCTTATAGGAATGGCACCCCATCATTAAATGGTGAGACCGAAGAACCTGGGTTGCTCTCCTTAGAGCAGAGAAGGTGAAAAGGCCACTTGATCGAGGTGTTCAAATGGTTTTCGCAGAAGTCAGTAACCGGAGGTCACAGAGACGAGGTGACATTTTTAAAATAAATGCAGCACGTGGTTATGATCTGGAATGTGCTGGCTGAAAGAAGAGTGGAAGTAGATTTGATAGTGATTTGCGAAAGCGAAATGGATAGGTACTGAAAGGAAAAACGTTTGTAAGGTTGTGGGATGGAACAAGGAGCAGGAATGATTAGGTAGCTCTTTTCAGGGAGCAGGAATGGGTACAAAGGGCTGAATGGCCTTCTTTGTTGCTACTCCCTCTCCGGCTCGCTTTACCACTGGCACAGTTACACCAAAGGTAATAACAACAGCTGAGGGCAAAGCTGGCTAGCTGAGCTCAAACTTGGGTTACTTCGGTCTCCCTGGCTCAGAAATTGCACCACATGGCAGCATCTTCAGACACAGATGAATAATCCAGAGATCTAAGTTCAAATCCTGCCATGGTAGCTGGGGAAACTTAAATGAACTGATAAATGTAGAATGAAATGCTCATGGAACTGTTGTGTTTCTTTTCTGAATTCATTTATGGGTATCACTGTCTGAGCCTTCTTGAACTACTGCAGTCCATTGCTATCAAAAATCTATTCAGAGATAGTAGGAACTGCTGATGCTGGAGAATCTGAGATAACAAGGCGTAGAGCTGGATGAACACAGCAGGCCAAGTAGCATCAGAGGAGCAGGAAAGACGTTCCAGACCCGAAACGTCAGCTTTCCTGCTCCTCTGATGCTGCCTGGCCTGCTGTGTTCATCCAGCCCTACACCTTGTTTTCTCTGGCTCACTCACTGTTGCCTTTCACGGGAGGAAATTTGCTGTCCTTGCTTAGTTTATCCAGCAGGTGGCTCCAGAACCACACCAAAGTGGTCGTCTAAAGCTGTCCTGTGATGTGCTCTAGCAAGGCGCTTCCTTATATCAAATCACTGCAGAAAGTTTGACCCTCCAACACCTGCATATCCCCCCCCGAAAAAAAAATTAGAAGTGACAATTCGTATCATTTTGATTAGATACTTTCAATCAAAGTCCCAATCATTTCTGAACTCTGATTCTGAGCTTGGATACCTTTATTGTGGCTGGCTGCACCCCAATTTAATTGAAATCCGAGAATAACAGCCCCCAAAAACTAATTGTTTTGATTTGATTTATTGTTGTCACATGTACCAAGATACAGTGAAAGGTGTTGTTTTGCATGCTATCCAGACAAATCATACCCTCTGAGGAAGGGTCACCGGACCCGAAACGTTAACTCTGTTTTCTCCTTCACAGATGCTGCCAGACCTGCTGAACTTTTCCAGCAACTTTGTTTTTGTTCCTGATTTACAGCATCCGCAGTTCTTTCCGTTTTTAAATCATACCTTACATAAGTACATCAGGGTAATAGAACAGAAGGCAAAATATAGTGTTACACCTACAGAATATGTAAGTAAGTGTCTGAGTACTTAGACAAGAATTTTGGAAATTAGAATAACTGTAATCACTTATTTTCCAGGTACTGATGATTTTGACCTGAGTGACGCTCTCAGTGGTGATCCCATTAAGCCAGCAGGTGTGTATTGCTGGGCTACCTTTCTCAAAGGATGTGCTGACATGAAAACAGAGCAGGTATCTTGCGCACAGCAAGACAAACTGAAAGAAGCTAAGTGTGAGATTACCAGGGGTTAGGTTTCTACCATCGTGGCAGAAAGCTCAAGTTGGGAAATCTCCACCCGTGAATAAGTCATACCCTCCATCTTGGTGAGCAGTTCCAAGGTGGGTGAAGGGCAGATCAGATGGGTTAGATGGCCCGTCTGAACTGTCTAAAACTTCAGCCCCATTGTACAAATGGTTGTTAAGCACTCTTCCCTTACTGCTCAACTCATTGGGTGGCACGCTGGCTTCGTGGTTAGTACTGCTACCTCACAGCGCCAGGATTCGGGTTGAATTCCACCCTCGGGCGACTGTCTGTGTGTGTGGAGTTTATACATTCTTCCCGTGTCTGCGTGAGTTTCCTCCGCGTGCTCTGGTTTCCTCCCATAGTCCAAATATGTGCATGCTAGGTAGATTGTCCATGGGAAATGCAGGGTTACAGGATACGGTTGGGGGCTGCGGGGAGGAGGGGTGGGGGTGGGGGTGCGGTGGGTGTGGGTAGGATCCTTTTTGGAGGGTTGGTGTGGACTTGATGGGCCGAATGACCTGCTTCCAAACTGCAGGCATTCTATGATCTATTCTATGATCTATGAACTGAAGCCCACATCCCCCACCTCTTGTTTCCTCATCTCCTTTGCCACCTCCATGCCCCCTCAATCCTACATGCCCTCACCATAGCCACTCACGAAGACACATCCCTGTTATGAACATCCTGGAGGTTAGCATTGACGAGAAACCAGAACTATATAAATACAGTGGCCAAGACATGTTTGGGAATGAAAGCCTGACATTTTACAGGTGTATTTAATCTGTTTTCTTTTAATATAACAGCCGGTAGCAGTTTTGATGATTCAGATCTTCAAGATGTTGTAAACAGTGATTATAAACCCGAGAAGACCAAATCTAAAGGTAACCCTTTCTTTCAGTCATATTTATGCGTTCACATGAAGATGTCAAACAGCATAGGTTACTGAAACAAATTATAGTGAGTAATGGCAGAAATTAAGCTGATTTAAGTGATATCCTTAATGAGCTACAACAATGTCACAGACTCATACCCAGGCTTGGTAGTTCATTATGAACTTACTCTTCCTTGATTCATTTGGTCTGTTTTCTGAGTCATGTTGTCAATAAAGACCAACAGAATTATTGGCTACTGTTGCTGATCAATAAACCAAGGTGAAAGGTGAACCCAAAAGACTGATAATGGAAAATTTCTGAAATTTGAGAAGATAAAATGTCGCTGATACATGGCTCAGTAGTCAGCACTGCTGCCTCACAGCGCCAGGGACTTGGGTTCGATTCCACCCTCGGGCGACTGTCTGTGTGGAGTTTGCACATTCTCCCCAGTGTCTGCGTGGGTTTCCTCCGGGTGCTCCGGTTTCCTCCCACAGTCCAAGGATGTGCAGGTTAGGTGCATTGGTCGTGCTAAATTGTCCTGTAGTGTGCAGGCTAGGTGGGTTAGAGTTACAGGTCTTTGGAGGGTTGGTGTGGACTTGTTGGGCTGAATGGCCTGCTTCCATGCTATATTCTATAAACATGGTCGATATATCAGCGATTGTGGCAGACTGAACTCACCAAGGCTAGATAAGCAGCATCATCCAAATCCAAGGCCTCTACCGTTTTGAATATCAAGAATACCACCAGCAAGTTCCCCTCAAAGCCGCTCATTATCCTTGTCTTGGAAATATATCACCGTTCCTTCAATGTCGCTGGGTCAAAATCCTAGAATTCCTTCCCTTCAGCACTGGACTTCAGTGGTTCAGGAAAACAGCTCACCACCTCCTTCTCAAGACAATAGGGGATGGGTAATAAATGCTGGCCTAGCCAGTGCTGCCCATATTGACTGAATAAACTATTTTTAAACAAGTACCTGAAGATAGAAAATGAATTAATGTTTGGTTCACTGCCATTCACTTTGAGAAGGCTAATCTGGAAGAAACATTTGCTTTCATTTGCTTCCTGAATCATCTTAACTATCACTAATCCCCTTTTGCCCGATGTTCGTAACTCCCTGCCTATCTGAACTGTGTCAACCATAGCTTCGCTGGTAGAAATTTTATCACTGAGTCAAAAGGTTCTGAGTTCAAACCAGAGGAGCCCTTGTTTGAATGAAACATTGAACTAAGGCCCTGACTGCTGTCTCTGGTTATAAAGATCCCATGCTTTATCAAAGAAGAGCTGGGGAGTTGGTCAAAGTAAACCTCCCTCTCTCTGTCGCGCGCGCGTGTCTGTGTCTGTGTCTGTGTCTGTGTGTGTGTGTCTGTGTCTGTGTGTGTGTGTGTGTGTGTGTGCGTGCGCGCGCGCATATGTCTTGCAGAATATGGACTTATTTTTACATTATTAATACCTTTTACCTGGGTGGGTTTTAGTGCAATAAAACTAACCTTTTGCTTACAGTACTTAACTCGAGGAACTCTGTCTGGCTAAGTGTTTATTGTCCACATGCGGTCTAATAAGTACATACTGAATCAATGAATACTCAACCTTTATAACAAACAAAAAAAAGAAGTGAGGAAAGTGGGGAAACCATTGAATTTGTCCTCAAATGGTTGTAAAGGACTTCCAAAGTCTTTCATTGGCTATAAAGCAGTTTGAATGATCGTGTGGTCATAAGAGGTGCTGTAAGAACTCGAGTCTTTATCATTCCCCAATACAATATCTGCTTCTTTATCACAGTAGTTGGTTTCTGAAGCCTTTTGGCTATTTGTCCTTTCCCTCTTCTCCTCATTTTCCAATCCGTTAAAGTAGCTTCCCCATTCCCCCACTTCAATTTCGGATTAAGACATGATCTCCAAAATATTCATCTAAATTTTCTCTCTTCAGATGCTAATAGACCTGTGAGAATTTTGCAATGTTTTATTTCCTTGGGTTTTGATGCTTGGGGCTGATGACATTGCAGTATTTGCAATGATAATGGGTTTTAATAGTGGGTGATACAGGGAGATGAATTTCTCTGGTGAGTTCGTCCACTTGGAGTGAAAACAGGGAAACCTTTCTAGACAGGTGTTAGAGGAAATGTAGATCAACCCGTTACCCCAAGGCTGAGACGGACACTGAAACCAAGTCTTTCCAGGTGAAGTAGCATTTCACCTGTACCTCCTCCAATCTTGTGTACTGTATTCGCTGCACCCAATGTGGCCTACTCTACATTGGAGAAACCAAACACAGACTGGGTGACCGCTTTGCGGAAACCTCTGGTCCGTGTGCAGGCAGGACCACGACCTTCCCATAGCTGGTCATTTTAACACAGAGTCCTGCTCATGTGCCCACTTGTCTGTCCTCGGCATGTTGCAATGCTCCAGCGAATCACAGTGCAAACTGAAGGAAGAACGTCTCATCTTCAGTCAAGGCGCTATACAACCTTCTGGACTTAATATTGAGTTCAACACCTCCAAATTGTGAACCCACTCCCATTCCTTCCCTTACTTTTAGCTTTACTTGTTACATTCTCTGTCACCATGTCCTCTACTCCCCTCCCCCCAATGGGATTGTCTGTTGTTTCCTGTCTGGCAGTTAAACACACCATTGTTCTGCCATTCTCACATTTCGATCACTTAACCTGCAGTATCAACACCCTTTCTCCCCCAGCACTGCACCCCGCCCCCATTGCATAAATGCTGCCCCCTCCACACTTCATGTCAGCTCTGATGAAGAGTCATCTAGACTCGAAGCGTTGGCTTGCGCTCTCTCCATGGATGCTGCATGACCCGCTGTGATCTCCAGCATTTTTTTGTTTTCAGTACAGACTCCAGCATCTGCAGTGATTTGCTCCTACTCTGAGATGGATATATGCTTGCTAGGCAAGAATATGGAGCAAAGGCTCATTCGTTGGATTGAAATGCATGTCAGCCATGGTGTGATTCGATGGCAAAACAGAACCGATGGGCTGAATGGCCTATGCCTATGCTACCATACCTGAATACTTCTGGATTTTTTTGTACAGCAACCTGCTATCACTGCATTCATTGATGTCAATGTGAATTGAATTGTATTGTGTTCTGACTTGTATGCAACATAGTGAACGTTGTCGTAGTGTAAATATGTAGCTTTATAAACAGCATGCTATCAATTGGCTTCTCTTTTTTAAAATCTCTTCAGCTCAGGACCCTCCAACAGTGATTGACATCATCATTGACCTTGTGATGGCTTTAATAGGTGGAACATCTGAACAAGTGAAGAAGTTGTGTTTCAGTTTGCTAGGTAAGAATACTATATGCCTCTCTGTATGGTACATGCAGACATCTGGACTAGGAGCAGAAGTAGTCCTCTTGGGCCTTCTGCACCATTCTGCATGATCGTGGCTAATCTGATCACACCACGCTCACACCTACCCTGATTAACCTTTGGGTCTCTCGTTCGTAGAGATGCCGTCTACTGCTGCCTTAAAATTTTCAATGGCCCCACTTCTGCTGCTGTCTAGGAGAGAGCATTCCAAAGACCCATGACCCTCTGAGAGAAAATCTTTCTGCATATCAGTCTGAGATGGAAGAACCCTATTTTCAAACTGTGGTCCCTATTTCTACTCCCTCCACAAGATGAGACAGCCTTTCGGTGTCCACCCTGTCAAGTCCTCTCAGGATCTCTCCTTATTGAAACCCATCTTGTTCTTCCAACCTATAATGGAAACAAACCAAGCCTGTCACCTTTCTTCAGTCAGTCCAGATATCAGTCACGTGAACCTTCTTTGAATTATTTCTAAAGCGTTTTATATCCTTTCTTAAATAACGAGGCCAAAACTATGAAGAACTGTCCTTCTCAACCTCTCCCCTGACCTGAGGAATGTTGGTTCAAGATGGTGTCAACACAGGGTGACTCTTTGCGAGCTGTCTACAGCTGATCTTGTTCCCACATTTCTGACAATCGTTCTGCACTTTAAAACTTCAATTCTAAGTCTGTAAAAATTACTGTGCACCTCCTTTGCAGCTGTAATCTTGTTTGCTTCTCTCTATCTAAACACCGTCTGATCTGCATGTCCTTGTACCTTATGATCTGCCCGTACTGCTTACACAACACAACTGTTCACTGTACTTTGATACATATGACAACAATAAATAAAATGAAATCAAATATACATACTACATCATGAAGCAGGACCGCTACTAGTTATTTCATAGAATCCCTACAGGGTGGAAACAGGCCCTTTGGCCCAACAAGTCCACACCGATCCTCATAGCATCCCACCCAGACCCATTCCCCTGTAACCCACCTAATCTATACATCCCTGGACACTATAGGCAATTTAGCGTGGCCAATCCACCTAACCTGCACATCTTTGGACTGTGAGAGGAAACCCGAGCACCCGGAGGAAACCCATACAGACACGGGGAGAATGTGCAAACTCCTGAGGGTGGAATCGAGCCCAGGACCCTGGTGCTGTGAGGCAGCAGTGCTAACCACTGAGCCACTATGCTTACATAGTGCCTTTGTAACAGTAGTCTTCAATGTATCGAAATGTTCCTTGACACTACACAAGTGAAAAGGGAAGAAGTTTTTCGTGTAAATTCCTATCTCTTGGGAATTGTTTTTGTGTCTGAACAGTGAAAAGCTTCAACAAAATGTCTCTTTGCTTCAGCGATACTCTAGTTCTTTCAAATGTAGGCCCATTCTACTTGTTTTTTGTACATCTTGTCATCAGAGGAATCCATGTAGCAATTCTACATTTGGGAATAAAGCGTCAGTTCTTTGAAAGAGATGCCATCAGAAGATTGGCTCCTTTCTGTGCTGATTCTTTAAGGGCACAGTGTTAGATTAGCATATTTTTGGTGATAAAAGTCATAGGATCATAAATATTGTTTGCAAATAAGGAGTTTTTATCACTGATGTCATTCAAATTTCTGACGGTGAAGCAATTAATAATTTTATTAAGAAACAAGAAGTATGGTAAAGGTTGAATGTCAACAACATGCTATAAAATAAATGCAAACTCACTGTAGTCCCACAGGACCACTCTCATATTAGAGAGAGAAAGAATTAACGACAAGTAGTGGTGTTTTAACCTGAAGGTCACCATTCGTCAGGTGAGGGGAGAGGTTGAGAAGGTGCGTCCTTACATAAGAGCATAAGAAACAGGAGTAGGCCATGTGGCCCATCGAGCCCGTTCCGCCATCCAATAAGATCATGGCTGATCCTTTCATGGACTCAGCTCCACTTACTCGCCTGCTCACCATAATACTTAATTCCATTACTGTTCAAAAATCTATCTATCTTTGCTTTAAATACATTCACCAAGGTAGCCTTGGAGATAGTAAGAACTGCCAATGCTGGAGTCTGAGATAACGCAGTGTAGAGCTGGAGGAACACAGCAGGCCCCGACCCAAAACGTCAGCTTTCCTGCTCCTCTGCTTCCTGGCCTGCTGTGTCCCTCCAGCACCCCACTAAGGTAGCCTTAACTGCTTCACTGGGCACCTTTTAGGTGAAGAAGTTCCTCCTCAACTCAGTCCTAAATCTGCTCCCCCTTATTTTGAGGCTATGCCCCTTCGCCCTAGTTTGACCTGCCAGTGGAAACAACCTCCCTGCTTCTATCTTATCGAATCCCTTCAAAATGTTATATGTCTCTGCAAGATTCCCCCCTTGTTCTTCTAAATTCCAAAGAGTATAGTCCCAGTGTCCTCAAGCCAACCTTGTCAACTCCAGAATCAACTGAGTAAATCTCCTCTGCACCCCCTGCAGTGCCAGTACATCCTTTCTCAAGTAAGGAGACTAAAACTATACACAGTACTCTGGGTGTGTCCTTCATGGTAATCCCAGTTGGTGTGCGAATCGAACCTACACAGCTGGCATCATACTGCATCAGAGACCAGCCATCCAGCCAACTGTGCTAACCAGCTCCCTAAGGTACTGGGTGATATGATATTAGATGAACATTGCAGGGAGATGGTAACTGAGGAAAAAGTTACGAGAACGCAAAATCTATTTGGTTGAATGGCTTACAGAGGTGAGACAGGAAATGCGTTGCTTTTAGTCATTAATCGATTTTGTTTCCATTAACAGAAATGTTCACTGAACAGTACGTGAATGTGCAGGACCAGTGAAAGGATGCTCAATGGTATGTGTTCAAATGACAAACATATCTGCCAGAAACCTGTTCCGATTAAACACGTCATGACTAATTTTGATTTGCCCCCAATATCCTCTTTTGATGTGGAAACAGTGAATGCTGGAAACGCTCAGCAGGTCAGGCAGCATTTGTGGAGAGGGAAGCAAAGTTGCCATTTCAGGTTTGTGATCTTTCAATCAGAAATGGAAAACGTTAGGTTGAGTGGAGCAGCTTTTAAGGAAGTACAATAAAACAGCAGTAAAATAGAATCGTAGAATGGAGGGCAGGAGTGATAGAAGTTATTTTTCTCTGTCCCTCTCTCATGGGATGTACTGACCAAGGCCTGTGTTTTTTACCTGTCCCTAATTGCCCTAGAACTGAGGCTCATTATGCCATTCCAGAGGCATTTAAGCATCAAACACATTGATGTGGCTCAGGAGTTGTATGTAGACCAGATCAGGTAAGGATATTGAATTCCTTTCCCTAAAGAACATTAGCGACCCAGATGGATTTGCACGACCACCGATGATGGTCACCATCACTGAGATTAGCTTTTAATTTATTGATTTGAAGATAAATTTCACAACCTACCCTGGTGAGATTTGAACCTTTGTACCCAGAGGATGCACTCAGGCCTCCTGGACAATTAGTCCCGTGATAATACCACTGTCTCCCACATTGGTGCTGGTGTAAGGCAAAAGGGAGTCAAGAACGAAGCGGGTAAAGAAGCAGAAAGAGAGTCCGGGGTGATCTATTGGACACAGAGGGTGAGGCAAACGGAAAGATTTACAGCGAAGTCTTTGATCCAGGAATGTGGAACTTAATGACCAGAATAGAAAATTGGACAGAAAAATCTCATTGATATGAAAGGGAGGTTGCTTCTTTCTTCCTAGATGCTGAATGTTTCTGGTGTTTTTCACCTTGTATTCCAGCCAGGAAGTTGCTCACATAGCAACAGCACATCCTGGTGTCCGTGATCCCCTTCGCTGGGAGTCTACGTGACTGGATCTGCTGATCCCGGACTCTGAGCTGAAAAAGGTCCAGGACACCCAGCGATTGACAAACCGACAACCTCCAGCTACAGCGTCAACTCTTCAGGAGAGGCTGTGGCGTTCTCAACAAGGGCTCGATAACTACTTAATGTGCCACCCCTGCACTCCCCTTGCTAATACCATGTAGCTGGGCCCCTCCACCCACCGAAACAGGGTTGCCTCCTACTTTTGACACCCTAGGGCCCCTGTAAGACTCTGCCTGGGGTTTCAGTTGGTGATGGTTGCATTGAAAGAGTTCTGCCTGCCTTGCTGAGCATTTCCTGCTTTTAATTCCTAGATCCCACTCCTCCTGTTGAGATGTGTGTTGGTGCTTGGCTGCTCCTGCTGTTCTTTAGGATGTGTGTGTAAAAGTTGGCCTTCTGTGAAGGGATTAGGGGTGGGGAGGTGCATGTCGTTCTTGACTGTGGTGCCAAAATCTTGCAGAAATTCACAACCTTAAATGGCAATAATTTTACCAGTCCCTTACCTGCCTTCCACCAGTCCTTTTTTTTTACCCAATTCTGAAGATGTCTATGCATGCTGAGGCTCTCTTAGACCAGCAACATTCAGTTTGGTTATAGTCCTGGAAAATTTTATTTTCACTTTCAAGGGGAGACCCTTTAAGTAGCCTTGAGAGGTCATCATTAGCAAGGTGGGTGTGAACTTCCTTCAGGAATCACCGCAGTCCGTATGTGATAGGTAGACCCACAATAGGTTCTCCACGAAGAAAGCCATCAACAAACACATAGAGCTTGACTCCATATACACTCCACTGCGAAGAAAAACTGGAAGTGGGGTAATCCAGCTCAATGGACTCCAGAATTTAAATAACAGGTGGGAAGACACAACGGCGCTTCATCGGAGGCTGCACTGATGATGTGACCCAGCAGGGTAATGAAATGTCTGCGGAACAACAACGAACCAGCTCGGCGAGCCAACCAACCACAACACCCACAATGCTGTTAGGGAGGGCATTCCAGGATTTTGACCCAGCAAGGGATGACGATATGCTCCCAAATCGGGATATTGAGCGTGAACGTGCAGGAGTGGTGTGCCCACGCATCTTGTCCTTGTATATGGTAGTGCTCACAAGGTTTGAAAGCTAGTGTCAAAGGAGCCTCGGAGAGTTACTGCAATACTATTTGTAGATGGTACACGTGTCAGAGGGATGGCATTTTGAAGGTGATGGATGGGGTGCCAATCAAAGATGTTGTGTTTGCAGAGTGTTGCTGGAGCTGTACCCATCCAGACAAATGGAGATTTATTCCATCACACTCCTGACTTGTGCCTCATAGATGTGGGACAGGCTTGGGAGAGTCTGGTTGTGGATTACTCACTGATGGATTCCTCGCCTCTTGTCCTGCTCTTGTACCCAAGGTTGATATGACGGCTGATCCAGTTCAGTTTCTGTTGCTGTTGTGGGATTCGGCAATGATGGGAGACTGAGAAAGCAATGCTTCTTTTATGACCTGAGAGATGATGCTACAGCACTGAACTCCCTGTGCAGGGCAGTAGTTGCAGAATGTATTTAGGATGGAGCCTCAACATTGTAGACCTGACTTGGGGTAGAGACAATGCAGGATTGCGGATTCTGGCATTCCAATCACACTGAGGAAATAAATGAACCAATTAAATATCAAAAACCTTCCCTACTCAAGCTGAGGGTTTTGTTTTGGCAGTAGAAAGAAAAAGGCTGCATTAGAACCTCCCACGATCTTTGGAATATCTGCAGGCGTTTCATGGTCAGCATTAATGGAATGTTTGGAAAGATTGTATGTACAGTAAACATTACAAGCTGCTGGGAGAACTGTGCTAACCAGCACAGCTGCAGCAATGACATTTAAAAGAAATGTAACAATCCCTGGCTGCATATTGACATTAACAGACAACACTGTGCTTTGATGAGCAAATGAGCACGTAGCGAGACCTGGAGCAACCAGTGATAGGACTGAGACATGAAGTCCATAAAATCCATGCCTATTGTGAGAGGTCACCAGACAAGCACTCAACCCATCAGTTAGAGATAGCAAGAACTGCAGAGGCTGGAGTCAGAGTCAATGTCAATATGGTATGGAGCTGGAGGGACACGGCAGGCCAGGCAGAGGAGCAGGGGAGTTGACGTTTCAGGTCGGGACCCTTCATCAGGACTTTTTTGTCCCGACCTGATACGTCGAATCCCCCACTCCTCTGAGGCTGCCTGGCCTGCTGTGTCCCTCAGCCCATCTGTGGTCACAGCCAATCCTAAAAACAAGAAGATTGCAAGACTTGCGTTTATATAGCGCCTCTCACGGTGTGCCTGTAGAGCTGTACAGCCCACGAAGCACTATTGAGGTGTAATCACTGCTGCAGTGCAGAAAACAAGGCAGCCAATATCAGCACAGCAAGCTCCCACAACCAGCAAAGTGATCATGCCAAATTTATTAGGGTGGTTGTTTTGAGGGATGAATATTGGTGGAAAACTCACCCTGCTTTTTTCTGAAATATTGCAATGGATTTGCCCAGCTAATGGAGCTGATAGGATTTTTTTAACATTTGTTCTTGAAAGACAGGCACCTCTGGCAGTGCCGAACTCCCTCAGCATTTCAGTGTTGCCTCAGCTGCGATTTCTCTGCTTCAGCTCTGGAGTGGAACTCAAGTGTTCAGTGTTGTGACTCAGGGGGATGGGGGGTGGAGGGCAGGGGTGCGGTGCTGAGCATGCCTCTGACTGAGCCACAACCAATAGAAACTACAGCAAGTAACATCTGAGAAACCGAGCCTACCACCTAGTGGCAAAACCACTTCTTTTTTAAAAAAATGGCTTGAATTTTTTCTGATCATTCTTTTTAATGAGGGATGTGGGCATCACTGGAAGAGCCAGCATTTGTTGCCTAACCCTCTGTCCTTGTAATAAAGTGGCTTGCTAGGCCATTTCAGAGGGTGACAAAGAGGCAGTCACCTTGCTGTGAGTCTGGAGTCACACGTACGCCAGACCAGGTAGGAGCGGCAGATTTCCTCTTCTAAAAGGACATTAGGTGGGTTTTTGTAACAATTGATGAGAGTTTCATGCTCACCACTAAATTTATATCCCGGATATTATTTCAAAGAATTTAAATTCCTGTAGCGGGATTTGAACCTGTGACCCAAGAACATTAGACTGTCTGACCTTGCACATGTCCAAATGAACTTTTAGGTTGCTCAGAGGTGATGGTTTTCCCAGTAGTGAGAGACCTGTGTAGGTGCTGAACAGCCAGCTACTGCAGACACTCCTTATTGGTGAACTACTGTCCTAGGGAATAGCCTCGCAGAAGGCTCACACCAGACTCGAAACGTTAGCTCTGTTCCTGTCTCCACAGATGCTGCCAGAGCTGCTGAGTTTCTCCAGCAATTTCTGTTTTTATTTCACATTTCCTGGGCTGCACAGTGTTCTGCTTTTATTTCGGGAATTGTCATTATTGGAATGTAGGGCATTTAACAGCCAATTTCCACACAGCAAGCTCCCACAAACAATCCAGTTGAGAAACATATCAGCCATAATCGAGTAGCAGAGCAGAGTGGATGAGCCAAAAGGCTTAATTCTGTTTCTATATCGTTATGATCAAACTCTCTCAGTTGTTTTGATTAGGGGAACAATGTTAGCCAGAGTACCGGGGAAGTTCCTTTGTTTGACTTGTAAATGGGATCTTTCACATGAAAAGACAGCACTTCTAATAGTGAAGGAATGCTGCACTGACTCTGACAATAGCCAACCACATTAGGGAATGGGCAACAGGTATTGCATTTTCAGGAACAGCAGCAAATATTTACTGCGACTGTAAATACTGAGGGAACTATTATTGGTCCCAGCCTCCAGGACCTCTGAGGTTTTCATGTGATGACTCCCTGAGGCTAATGCACTGGAAATTGACCCCCACTATTGCCAGGGCTGTGATAGATTTTTAAATAAGCACATACAATTCCTCATATTAACTTAATTTTCAGATCAAGGTTGATTTTAAAAAGCATGGACCACTTTTCTGTGCTTCACAAGAATTATTATTTATTACAAGTAATTAGACTCTGGCTACAGGTAAACCGTTCTAAACCATTTACATATAACACTCCTCATTAAAACACAATTCCTTTAAAAACTCCCCCCTTACACATACAGATAAGAAAAACATTTGCTCCGAAGTTCTGCTGAGCCGGTTCTTACTAATCTGTAAGTTTCTTTCTGCCTTCGCTTTCCCAATTGCTTCTACTGTATTTGCAAAGGCACAGAGTGGCTGGTTCACTTGTGAAGTATCACTGACATACCCATTAAAAGTTAGAGCTTACACCTACTGCTGAAGTGAAGATGAACTGTTCGCTTCTAGTTAAAAGTGAGTTTCGACTGCGGTGAACAGGGAGACCACTCCTAAGCTGGTTAAGATCAAATTCCTTCTCTGTTTTTTGTTCCCATTCCCAAACTGCTACCTGAGAACAAATTACATGGCTGATGGTAAGCAAAAAGTCCTTGTTTTCAGTAACTGGTCACCAGTCCTTAAACCTATTCCCTCTTGTTGTCAACCAGAAATTCTTAGAGAGTCATAGGGTCATACAACACAGAAACAGACCCCTTAGTCCAACTCATCCATGCTGACCAGATATCCTAAATTAATCTAATCCCATTTGCCAGCATTTGGCCCATATCCCTCTAAACCCTTCCTATTCATATACCTATTCAGATACCTTTTTAAATGTTGTAATTGTATCAGCCTCCACCACTTCCTCTGGCAGCTTCATCCATACACACACCACCCTCTGCGTGAAAAAGCTACCCTTAGGTCCTTTATAAATATTTCCTTCTTACCTTTAAACCTATGCCCTGTAATTTTGGACTCCCCCCACCCCCCCAGCCCCCCTTCTGCCTCCCCAGGTAAAATACCTTGTCTATTTACCCTATCCAAGCCCCTCATGATTTTATAAACCTCTATAAGGTCACTCCTCAGCTTCTGACACTCCAGGGAAAAAAATCCCAGCCTATCCAGCCTCTCCCTACAACTCAAACCCTCCAGTCCCAGCAAAATCCTTGTAAATCTTTTTCTCACCCTTTCAAGTTAGCAACATTTTTCCCATAGAAGGGCAACCAGAATTGTATGCAGTACTGTAAAAGTGGCTCCACCAATGTCCTGTACAGCCTCAACATGACAACTCCTACACTCAATCTTCTGACCAATGAAAGCAAATGTGTCAAACACCTTCTTCACCACCCTGTCTACCTGCGACTTCACGTCCAAGGAGCAATGCATCCGCACCTCCAGGTCTCTTTGTTCAGGAACACTCCCCAAGGCCCTTAACGATTAACTTTGAAGATCCTGCCCTGATTTGCCTTACCAAAATGGCAACACCTTACATTTATCTAAGTTAAACTCCATCTACCAGTCCTCAGCCCATTAGCCCATCTGATCAAGGTCCCATTGTGCCTCTGAGTAAAGAACCCTTCAGCTCCAGTTCGTCTGCAAACTCTTCAGTTACTCTTGTTGAAACAACTATTTATGATTCTTAATAAAAACCGAAAGAACTGCGGATGCTGTAAGTTAGGAACAAAACCAGAGTTGCTGAAGAAGCTCAGCAGGTCTGGCAGCATCTGTGAAGGAAAAAACAGTTAATATTTCGGGTCCGGTGACCCTTCTTCACAACGGATTATTTGTGATTCTTGCCTTGTCAGGTTATTTGCTTTCCAAATTATGCAGCCATCCTTCCAAAACAGTCCTTTCTCATTTCAGTCTGCAACTTCTGTTAACAACACAAAATTAAAAGACGTGATCCTTATGGACGTGGCAAATTTTACATTTCCTTGGCCAGTCCTATTCGTTTATCCTTTGAAAACCCAATGACCTGGGCTGTTAAGGCAGGAAATGCAGTGGATTTTGTGTCCTCCTCAAGGCCAATCTTATACCGTTACTGCCAGCTCAGACGAGAAAATTCACTAGAGATCAGAGTTACAAATTCTGAGGATCGATACAGTTCGTGCATTTTGTTCCGCAATCTAACATTTTACCAACTGTTGCAGACAATGTGGGAATCAGTTGAATTTAAGTTCTGCTTGCTTTTCCCATTTTAAGCCTTAGACAGTGAGGTATTGTTTGATTCACTCTCCCTTTTTACTCCCATCCCTCACTGAGGTGAGCAGAAGAGTGTTCCCTAATCCTGATTTTTGGAATACAGTCTTTGAAATAATTCTTTAGGAGGAAATCAAAGATTGGAATTATTTATAAATATGAGGAAATTGCTTTGCTACTACATCTCCACACAGAAGCACTCAAGAAATTAAGTAAGTTAGGGCAAGAGATAGATTATAAATCCTAAATTTTGGGTAGATCAAGAGGTTTTAAAAATCATTTTACCTAATGTTCAATTTCCCAGCAGCCAGTGTTCAATAATAGTTTCAGCTATACTTTTCCATTTTTCAGGCAAAATATAGATTTCTTTACAGTCAGCAATTTGTAAACAAACTTGGAGTATGGAGTTGACAGCCTGTCAACTCAGCTTGATGCCCTTTTTTTTCAGGAGGTCAAACAGCAACTGACTGAGAATCTTAGAATTATATACTTGAATAATTCTACAGGCTCAAATTTAATTTGACACAGACAAGCATTTCAGAAGCTGAGGGCCCATCTCAGTGGGCTAATTGGAAAGTTGTTAAGTGAACAGTATATTTTCCTTTTCCCCCCGTCAGAATTTTTATTGTGAAGTGGTAACTGAAAATGTATTAGCGCCCATGTCGGCAGAACGAATCTTGATGGTTTATTTTGCTTCTTGCCAGCTCTGGACAGAAAAACTGCTTGTGTAATGCAAGGGGTTCAGAAGCATCTGAACATACGATCTTGTGGTCACTCGTCACTGAGTTCAGCAGAATTGTCCATTTACAAAAGAAATAGATGTTAAAAAACAGAATTATAAAAGAGAATGCAGGGTTTTTTTTCTATTTGAGATTTTTCATGTCTTCTGGCTATGGTGCAAGAAATATTGGCTTTTTCTTATCAATGCTGTGCTGAAGTATTAATGCCATTGGATATGTAATCCAGAGGCCCTGGCTAACTCTCTGGGGTTGGAAGTTCGAATTCTACCATGGTAGCTGGTGAAACTTCATTTACTAAAACAAAATCTGCAATTTAAAATTAATTTCAATAATTGATAATGAAGTGGTTGTTGATAGCTACAAAAAGCCATTGAGTTCATCATGTCCTTTAACAAAGGAAGTCTGCCATTCATCCCTGGTTTTGCCTACCTGTGACTTTTAGACTCACAGCAATATGGTTGTCTCTAAACAGCCCTCAGAAATAGCCTAGGAAGCTATTCAGTTCAAGATCAATTAGGGATGGTCCACAAATACTGACCCTGGCAGTAATGCCTATGTTCCATGCTATAATTAGATATCTGTAATGCTACTAAAAATTGATTTCTTATTTTTGTATGTTCCTTTATGTCCTCTCCCCATCACTTCAGCTTAACCTCTCTTCTGCCAAGCCACCTTTTGGAAGGAAGTTGAAATGGTCATCGTAAAGAGATAGGAAGCTGATAGTTGCTGTCCAACTTCAGACATATTGGATACTATTTCAGGTTCCTTTGCTTAAACACCCGTTGAGGTTCTGACTTGTTTTTAACATTGTTTAAAACCTTGCTATTTCGTTGGATTGGAATGTGTTAGCAGGCCTGGCTTGATGATATGGATTTTTTTTCTTTTGTTTTGAAAATTTTCATTTTTAAATGATATTTTCCATAAAACAATTTATAGAACGGTTGGCTGCTCAGGCTACCAAACATCAGTTCAGAACATTATCACTGTCTTCCAGTTATTGTATTTACAAACACTTGGAAATTTTAAGGGATGTTCATTTTGAAATACTGGTACTTAATTACACAATTTTATAAAAGTTACCTCAGTGAAGGTACACATTATGAAGTAGATAATGATGAAAGTTATTGAAATGAGTTGAGCGCAGAATGATGGGTTCAAAAGCTTTAGATCCTGGTTTTAGGTGGAGGTTGCTCATTGCTGTAGCTACAATGTCAAGGAACTAAACCTTAGAAGATAAGAACTAGGAGGCAGGAATGGGCAGTTTAGCCCCTACAATCATGGTTGATCCCATTTTGACTTCAATTCCACTTTATTGACCAATCTTCATAATCCTTCAACCTGTTACTAATTAAAACTCTGTCTTTCTCCTCCTTAAATTTACTTAATATCCCAGCATTCATCGCAGATTCACTGTCCTCTGAGAGAAGTAATTCCTTTTCATCTCTGTTTGAAATCTGTTACCCCTTAACCTAAAACTATGACCTCTCATTCTAGATTGCCCCACATGGGGACTCACTCCCTTATGTCTACTTGCTCAATCCGTTTTAGCATCTAATGTATCTCAATTAGATCTCTCATTCTACTAGAGAACAAAAACTGTAGAGAGTATAGGCTTAAACTGTTCAATTTCTCTTCGTAAGAGAAACCCCTCATCTCTGGAAACAATCCAGAAACCTCCTTAGGAGTTACTGCTCACTAACCAGCATGTAAGAAATTAAGTCGATCGTTTCATTTTGCCTCTTTAAGAGTGAAGGTGCATTTCAAATTGTCTTTATATTGCACTTGTAACATGGGAGGTTCTACAAAGGAGCATTGGCAGGTGAAAGTGACTTAAGACACGTGAGATATTCAGACAGGCAACTAAAAACTTGTCAAAGAGTTTCAATGAGCTCTTTTGTAAAGAGATGGGAGTTTAAGAAATTCCCAGGAAATGAACTTGGATAATTCAGGATGCAGTCGCCAATGCTGGTATAAAAGAAATTGGGATTCAGAACAGAACATCACTACTTCTTTCAAAATAGCAGACTGAACAATATCGTATGGATGTCTTAAATGCTTGTACAATTGCAGGAAGACTTTTGTTTTATGGAGGACCTTGCGTTTTGTCTTTTTTTTTCGATGGGTGAATATTCATAAATGTCACTCAATGTTAGGCTTTATAAGATTTGCAGCTGCATAACTTAAGGAACCTTGGGCATTTACTGTATGTGGTCCTTTCTTAAGATTAACTGCTCATTTTAGAGGTTGCTTACTAATGAGGGAAGGAGAGATTATGGAGGGAAGTATTCTGGTGCTTGATGTAGAGTGGATGGGCAGGTGGAGAGGGATCTTTATTAAATGACTTGGTGTCAGAAGGAGATGGAGTAAAGTGATAAGATCTATCCGTCATTTTATAAACCCTCCAAATGGCTTCCCATTATTGACTTGAGAAATCAAATTCCAAGTGCTTTGAGATAGGAACTGTCAGACTTCACTACATTTGCTCAGTTAAACTTGCCATAAGTGCCGGCAACCTTGGGCAGAGTGAAATATTTCTTAAACAATTTCCTATTTCACAGCGTATAGCTGCAGTGATAGTTACTTTTCAAGTCAATAGTGTATTGATATCTATTTATGGGATTGTTTGTAATTGGGAATTACTTTAGCATTAACTGAATGCAGCTCAATGTGGAATTTAAGTTGTCTTAATTAAGACTGACCATGAACGGCTTGTAGTATGTAAAATAAAGTGGATTTGAATAAAATGGGTTTGAATTTTAATCCTTTTATTGTCATTTTTTAAAGAATATGCAACAGGTAGTGGTTATTACATGTTCTGTTCAGTAAAAGAGAAAAGAAACACTCCAACCGCATGTTTAGCAAACATTTATCCTTGGAATTGAGGATATTTGATGGAAGTATTTAAAAGTCATAACTTAAATCTTTTTTGTAAATGAAGAGAAATTATTTCCAGTGTTTGAAGGATTAAACACCCAAACAGCACAGATTAAACGACTGCTGAAGGAAATGCTGAGCTGACATGAGGGAACACTTTTCATGCAACAAGTGAGTTATTTGGAATGACCAAGTGGTGGATAAAGATCCAATAGTATTCAAACGCGATAACTACAAACGAGAGAATAATGGAGGGACATGAGGTAACAACAGGACTGTGGGACTTCTTGGTTGCACACTCAATGGGCTGAATGGAAGCCTTCTAGGCTGTATGAGTCTATAATTTTATGACCTTATCTAATAAGAATAATGCTCACACATTGCGTTGGCATAGTTGTAATGTCACTGGACTGGTGATCCAGAGTCAAGACTAATGTTCTGATGAAACTGGTTTGATTCCACCTTGTCAGTGAAAATCTGTAGAATCCTGGAATTCAAAGAATCTGGTCTAAAAGTGACTGTGTAACTGTTCTGGATTGTAGGAAACAAATCTCTGCACCTACTTTGTCAAGGCACCAAAGAACCTTACTCCATTAAGTACAGCTCAACCTCTTTAGAAGAAAATCTCTCCAAAGCGAGGATCAGTTTAGTGAAATTTTACTGGATTGTCATAGAATCCATACAGTGTGTGGGAGCAGGCCATTTGCACATTGAGTCCATACCAACCCTCCAAAGAGCATCCCACCCAGCCTCTGCCCTTATCCTATAACCTCACATCTCCCCTGGCTAACCCATCTAGCCTGTACATCCCTGGTCACTATGGGCAATTTAGCATAGCCAATCCACCTAACATACACATCTTTGGACTGGGAGGAAACCGGAACACCTGGAGGGAACCCATGCAGACACAGGGAGAATGTGTCACCGAAGGTTGGAATTGAACCTGAGTCCCTGGCATTGTGAGGCAGCAGTGCTAACTGCTGACTCATGGTACTGCCCCTAATTTTCCACCTAGGTTAGACCACTTTTAAGAGTGACACAATCAATACTGGTCTCTACATATACAAAAAATAATAGTGGAAGTAGGGGAGATGCAGAATTATTTTACAAGGTTGATAGCAAATCTGAGATCTTCGATTTATTGCAGTCAAATTGAACTGTTTGTGTTTTTTTCCCCTAGGGAAGAGAACATTAAGCAGTGAAATCTTTTTAAAATAATGAAATGTTTTAATAGGACAAGCATCATAGAGATGTTTCCACTTGTTTAGCAGGTCAATGTAAGATAGTGACTAATAAATTGATGAGGAATTCAACAGAAATTTCTTCACCCAGATACTATTTAGAACATGTAATTTGCCAGGGATGTGACAGCCTTGTGGTATTATCGCTGAACTGTCCATCCATAGACCAGCGTAACATTCTGGGGACCTGACTTCAAATCCTACCATGGCAGATGGTGGAGTTTGAATTCAATAAAAATCTGTAATTAAGAGTCCAATGGTGACCACGAATCCATTGCTGGTTGTCGGGGGGGAAACCACCCACCTGGTTCACTAATGGAAACTGCCATCCTTACCTGGTCTGACCTGTATGTGACTCCACACCCACAGAAATGTGGTTGACTCTTAACTGCACTCTGGGCAATGAGGGACGGGTAATAAATGCTGGCCTAGCCAGCGACGCCCTCATTCTGTGAGTGAATAAAAGAAAATAAAATCAGAGGTCTTATTTTGTATTCATCTAGGGGATGTTAAATAAACACTGAAGAAGAAGTAAACTGACAGAGGTGGGAGGACATGCATGGGTGCAGAAGTCAAATAATAATATTGTTTTGTTACTGGACTAGTAATGCATGAGGCTAGAACTAACAACACAAAGTCGGGAGTTCAGATCTCACAATAGTAATTAGACAATTGGCTGGAAGAATGGGTGCAGCCAGATTGAAAGATGTATTCACAGCGAGAACGACATAAGTCACCATTCTTCCTCTGAGTCTTAATGGGACGTGTGTCATTCTATTTAACTTTAAGTGACCACAACCTAGTCCACAATTACACTGAACAGATAATCCAGTCTTGCCAACCTTCCAACAGCATCTCTGTATAGCAATCTTGAGAAAAAGCAGGGATTGCCTGTACTATATCTCAAAAAGCACTGTCTTCCTGTCTCTCTGATTGGATCAATCCCCTGCTCAAATATTTACAATTCCTAAAGAAATGCATGCATATCGCTGGTGCCTTTTGTAAAATTCTGGGAATTGAAGTACGTTTAAAATGTATTACAGAAGGGATTGCAGCAAATTTGGATGTCTTATGGTATAGTGAGTGCCTCTGACCCAAAAGCTCAGTGTTCAAGAGCTGCACCCCCCTCAGGACTTAATGGCTACAGAAGGTGATTTCATAATGCAGCCAAACAGGTGGAGTATCAACTCCCTAAATCCCTCCAACATGCTCCAATGGCAGGAGGCATGAGTGGGAGAGATTCCTGGTCATTGGAGCCTCTACCATTCACTGTCCGAAGCTCCAGGCTACAGTGGACGTGTCAAAGTGTGCTGCTGCTGTCACCTGGAGGGGCTGGATGGCCAATGTGAACCCAATAGGTGCCAGCAGAACGCAGATCGAACCCTGTTCCAACTGGGGTGGAGTCAGGACCTACTTCCTTGCTTGAGCCACAATGAGATTGCAATGCTGTGGTTTGCACCTGTCTTTAGCCAGAGAACTGCGAGGCTGATGAAGAATGGTGTATATATAGTGTCTGTAATCCTTGTAATATGATCGGGGAGCTCAATGCCAAAGGCCCATTAGGGTAAATGACAAGGTAACCTGCTTTAAAAGAAAATATGCTTGACAGCACATAATCACTCTCTACTGATTTATCTTCTCTTGCACTCTTGGCATTAGTCTTTCACTTTTGTTTGTATTGCTCAGTTTGTGTTGCTAATTATTTCCTTAGATTGCCAAATTTGAGAATGGTGTCTCCAGCTCTGAACATGAATAAATCCATTTTGCCATGTTCCACACTGTTAAATCGTTAAAGAAATTACAGTGGACCCGAATGTAGAATGGAATCAGTGTTCTGTCTGTAAAATTTCATATCGCATCATGTAAATACAGTTTCATTTTGCATTGATAACAACCAAATTCAGATGCAAGGTGTTAAAGCCTTATTTTTACCAGGAGATTTTGAATGGTTTATAATTTGTCATGTTCTTATGACACACATGCACTTCGCAAAAGCAGCAGAATGTCTCACTTCCCCAGGGTTTGTGACTTTTCCCAAAATGTTCTCTTCTCCCTTCCTGAAGTGCCATGCTATGCTGTGGTACAACCTTCACAAGTGGCAGACACCATCTGCTACTCGGGGAGCTTGGCAGCCTTCGGGTGTGAGTCTAGCCAGCGAGTGTTACTCAAGGAAGCAACACGTTTGAATCCTGAATCTTGACACAACAAACATTGAGCAGGACACAAATAGCAGGAACACTTCCTTGTGTATCTTTGACCTACCCCACATTGAGAAGACTTGCAATTCTGCTGGTGCTGCTGTGTTTTGTGGAGATCTGTCTCCTCACCTTGCCCCCAGCCTTGTGGAATGGTGCCCCTTTCCTCCCAACGTATAACCAAGTGTGTGTTTGTCTCTCTCTTTCTAATTGGCAATGGTTCTCTACAGAATAAAGCTGATTTAGATGCTCTGACAATCTTTAAAAATTCTTTCATAAGTTGTGAGTGTCTTTTTTTTTTGCCCATCCCTCATTTTCTTTGGGAAAGTGGCACAACACCAAATAATTTGTTTATTGAGTCATAGCGTTGCACAGCATGGAAACAGACCCTTCAGTCCAACTTATCCATGCCAACCAGATATCCTATATAAATCTAGTCCCATTTGCTAGCATTTGGCCCATATCCCTCTAAAACCTTCCTATTTATGTACCCATCCAGATCCCTTATACATATGGAATCAAACCCATCAGCAAAATTAAATCAACAGAGTTTGACATTGACATGGTAGTTTAAAAAAAAATGAAGTCAGAATAAATGAAATTTGAAATTTCGCATGTTTTCGGTAAAGAGATAAGACAGCAGCAAGCGAGAAAACCCTAGTCCAGAAGGAGTGTATGAAGAGAGAGGTCTTGGACACCATGCTAGAGTGCTCTATTTGAGAACCTACTATATACAGATATAAAGTAAAGGAATGCACAAAGAGGTGAGGATATTCACTTAGTGATAAGATACAAGCAGACTCAGTCATCATATGGGCACTGACTGATATCTCAATGTGCAAGTAACAAGTCAAAGCAGTTCTAGGGGAGGCAATGGTCTAGTGTTTTACCAGACTATTAATCCAGAGATAATCCCAGTAACATTCTGGGGACCCGGGTTCAAAGTCAGCCATGAATTTGAATTCAATAGAAATCTGGAATTAGGAATCTTACGATGACATTGAAATCATTGTTGATTTTTGGGGAAAATCCCATCTGAATACTTTAGTGAAGGAAATCTGCCATCTTTACCTGGTCTGACCTACACGTGACTCCAGACTCGCAGTAATGTGGTTGAGTCATAACTGCTGTCTGGCCAATAAATGCCTTTGTTGCTGGGGTTAACCGGGGACACCCACAATGAATTTTAATAAGGAAAGTTTGCATCCACCCCAATGGGAATAAGTCTACATACACATAGCAGTGGACATACAGAGAAGTAGAACATATTCTTTCCCTTGAGAACTGCTGGTCACTCAGGTGCTCGTCAACGCCACCACTCTGAGAAGGTGGTTACTGTTGCTGGAACAACTGTAACCTGGGGCCTAAGATTGAGGAGAGGCCTAGGACGGAGGGAAGTCAAGAGCAGGAAGGGTTTGTGCAAGGTGTGGGT